AGCATTTGGAAACAAATATGAAATGGTTTCTTCATATAATTGATAAAACGATTTAAAAGTATTATTTATTGTGATATTTTTTTGATGAATTTTTCTGCATTTTTTTAAACCTTCTGATCTAATATCTTTTCTGATCTAATCGTTATAACAGAAAATAATATTAAATATGTTCGAATCAATCAAAATCTTATTCAATTTTTTCTAACCAGGAAATGTGCAAAATACAAAAATAATAACAACACGTTCTTTTTATCATTCATTTTTAATTAATCTAATAAAAGAGTTAAACACAATGAGCATAATGTAGAATTATGAACAATAAAGATGATGAAACCGAATAGTTTTTAATTCACAATAAGATATAATATGAAACAAGCTGTATATCACGATGCAATTATAATTTTGAAGAAGGCATAAAGATAACATTATCATTATTTTTTGTATAAATTTTCTTATTCTTCTTTTTTGGTAGTAATATCTGGACATCTTGTATAATAAGTATGAATTATCATGTGTTGCAATAATTTAAAGTACACGAGAAAAGTGGCATGTCTTTTTACGTATAATTATTCCTGACGTATAATTTGTTTTACGTTTATAAATTATAAATATGTTTATAAAACTATGTGTCATATAGATAAGAAAGTTACACTTTTGAAATTTATTAAATACGCTTATAAATTTTGTTTATGTGTACTTCGTTTTCAATTTATAAACTATGTTTATCAGTTTATTAAGTAAAATTATTTTATGAATTAATTATCGACGATTTATTTAAGTGCATTTATAAATATTTTATTGTATTTTATTTTAGAAAATTTTTTTGTCTGTGTATTTAATTATTATTAATAATGACAATTAATATATTAGTTAAAAAAAAACACATTATTTTTAGGAAAACGTATGTAATTTACAATATAATTTCTTTTTGCAATTATACGTTTTCTTTACACTACTTGATTCGTCTCATTATTCTGTGCAGAAAAGTATTAGGGTAAAATTATCGAAAATTAAATATTTTACGAGATATTTTATATTTTATGTCAAAAATGTCAGATTAAGATATAAAATTACTCAAAAAGTACCTAATAAAAAAACCTTTATTATAGTATTTTGAAAGACTTGCGAAATCAACTCACAAGAATATGCAATCAAAAATATGGGTTTTTATTAAAAAATTTCAAAGTAATTTTTACGTGACCTTAATTATGTTATCCAAGGTCAAACTAACATTGCTATATAATGTGCCGTTTAAAACCCTACAGCTTTCATATGAAACATTTTTCTCGAAAATGCTTTATTTTAATAGAATACAAGTTGCCAGTATTATATTATTTAATAATAATTTCTTGTATAAGATAGCAAACTGTCTTTCGCTTTCTCGAAGTAAAATTGCGAGCCACTGATTAACGTACAAGATTTGAAGAAAAAAAATTTCGAAAAAAATGCGATTACCACAAACGGAAAATTGTAGGAATGGAATTAGAAATTGTTGTAGCAGCTAAACTTATTGCAAATTTTCATTTCTTCGATGTTCTTTCTCCGCTACACGATTCTTGGATTACAGAATACTGGTGGGCCACATTTTCATAAATTAATTATGCTACGAGACTACGAGTATCGCATAATCTTTTGTACGAGGCATTCCACATTGCGTAACAAAGCAGTTCGTATAAAATCGACATTCGAATTTGAAAAAGTTATACATCCGAGAATTCAGTTTTCACGCATGTGATGTTAGTGTGTTATATAATACGCATCCAATGTTACCTAATATATATCTGCGCTACAAAATATATGAATTATGTTATACAAATAGGTCGGGTCTTTAAGTAATTTTTTTACGCTAAAATAAATCAGCGTTTCTCTAACGTTTATGTTTGCTAACTGCTATGCTAATCGTTCATCTTACCGAGAAATCTATATTAATGATACTCGAAGATTGCAACCGTTGCCCAACGTATTTCTGGTGCTTTTTTCGATATCGATGCTTTTTTATATCAGAATTAATATTCTGTTATAATCAAAATTGTAATTTTTATTCAAAATACTTGTATTATTTTCAAAATACAAAGAGTAATGCACAAATAGTATATAATATTCATATAACAAAATCGTGCAATTTTCTATAAAGGAAGATTTTTCCGAAAAACAAGCACAATAAAAATTTTCATAATATGCTATTTAAAAATGCAAGTGTAATTAAGTAAAAGTCAGTAGTTTTTATTTTTATCAATTTTTTATTATAAAATAATATTAACATGTTTAGAGGGATTCGTAATTATACGAAAAGTTTATAATATTAAATCTTGTTTGCAAATATTATTTCTTCATGGCAAGAAAAGAAAATTATAAAACCATTATATACTATGCATGTAAACCTCAAATGCAACTTGTCAAATATATCAAACAAATGCACTGTCTTTGTCTCCTCCTTTCGTTCTATTGTATGTGTGATAATATCGTTATATATAAATTAACATTCACATTAATATATTGCACACGAACGTAATTGCGGAAAAGATGGAATAGCATGCTAGATGGAGATAAATACTTTTGTTATTTTTCTTCGAAATGATTTATTCCATATTTGGTTCAAAACATATTTAAGTTAGGCAATGTATTGCAAATTAAAAAATAAAATTTGAACTTTCAGAATAAAATACATTAAAATTCAGATTATATAAATAATATAATTTAAATTTTTATTTCGTAAATTTATTCACTGAGGCATAGTCTTATGTACTTATAATACCACTACAATACATGAAACTGTTTCATAAAAAAGTATTACAATTTAATGCACTTTTGTTATGCTTGCGTCACTTGTAAGTGTAATGTAAAAATGATAATATAACATCGTAGATTAATATTGATAAGTTATTATAAGCTGTAAAGTTTATTGTAATTTCTTTCTAGGTTGTTTTTAATTTATATCTATTTATTTTAATTTTTTTTAAATTATTATTTATAATAAAAAAAAGTTTTCTTTGATTTGTATCTTTACATTTTATTAGAATCATTAAATAACGAGAAAGAAGAGAACATATCAATAGAATATGTATCAATAACTTGATAATGTTTTAGAAACATAGCTTTAACGAAATATTTAATAATTATTAAAAAATAAAAATTCAAGCGAAGAATATATAAATATATTACATAACATTTTGAGACAATATATTAAAAGGTTTAAAAATAAATGCGCAATTTTATATTGCTGTAAGCAATGTAGCAATTGTATTATCAGTAAGCTCGGCAAATTGCGCGTATTTTTATTATTTGATGATATCGCTATTACTTTATATATAAGTAATAAAATATATAATATTTTTAAAAAATTATTTAATTATATGTATAATATTTTTGAAAAACTCATTTATTTAGGATATATCTTATAACACGTCTTACACGACATTGTTATTACCATATAAGCTGACAAATGAGATGCTACCGTATCACTTGTTATTTATTGGACAGGTTAATTGGCGTATCAATATTTACATTCAAACGGGAAACTATACGTATTTCTTCGTCCTCCTGTACCGTACTCAGTTCTCTGCGTGCTTCGGAATATAAAAAAGTATCGAAAAAAGCACCAAATTAAATAATTCAAATTAAATTAAAGCGAATTGAATTACATAAATCATTGTTGCACTTGATACATCTCGTGCAAAAGTTTATTGCGTATAATTATTTTGACAAATATTATTTTATGGAGTATTCTAGAAACAATCTTTAAGTATCGTCAAAGAGCCGTCGCGAATCTCGATAACCGCTATTGATCATCATGAAATACGGCCTTTAAACACAACAAACTGACTTGCGACAGCCTTGAACATGGAAAGCTTGGTGTGTGCAAATGACTCATTACAGTTTGCTTCGTAAAAATAAAAAATACATATTATATTATCGAAAAGGACTAATTGTCCGTATTAAATTTTAAATAGAAAAAGTTTCGAGAAGTGTCTGTCTTTACGAATATAGAACTTTACGATTGAGTGGAGCATATTGTTCTCTTCGCTTTTACACTCTCGCAGTTACAGTAGTGTACAGTGGTCATCGTCCTGTATTTTAGTGATACGCTGATCAAACATTTCGCACCTGAACTCGGCAGTCGCTCGCTTCATGCATCTTGCAAAATGTTTCACATTGTGGTCATTATGATTCACTATAAAGTATGCACAAATGTATTTTATTTGACAACATTGAAAAGTATTGAAAGAAATGATGGAAATTTTATTTCTTAATTTTTTTTGAGGAAAATTATGAAAATCTAGTTAATATTTCTTGATGACATTTCTCAGACAGTTTTCTTAATAAATTATTCAAACGAGTTTGTCGACGCTTTGATGTTATCATTTCGCATCAAAGTCGCGTGCGAGACACCCGTAACGAGTACATAAATTAATAATTATTAAAAAAATGTAAGAATATTATAATAATAATGAATTATTTTGTCCTTCTCTTTATTCTTTCTTCTTTGCTTTAAAATGGATAAGTTAGATCAGAGCTCAGAATTATTCCAGCTTTCGGCCGAATCTCGTGGTATACGCTTTCTTTTTTCTCCCTTCCGCGCGCGCAACGAAAATAATAATTCCGGGCACTGAGTTAGATTAATATACATAGTAACATATAATTTACAATCTAATATTGGATCGCTTTGATAAAAATATTTAACTTTAACGTAATTGCAACTCATTATTGTAAATATTGCAGCAAGTTTACAAAAATAGCTTGTAAAAAATAAAGAACAAATTTTGCAAAATTGATTTTCTCGACTTTTGTTATTAATTATTTACTTTTACATTTTATTCGTCTATATTTCTTACATTTTTCTACAGTGTTATCTTAAGCGGATCTTTACTAGAAAACAGAAGATCTTTTCTTTTGCAAATCCGTGTAAACAAAATGCTATTATATTGTCATCTATAACAGTGCTCGGAATTAGTCTGAACATTTCAGCCGATTTCCGTGGTATACGCCTCCTTTCCTCTTCTTACCGCGCGCGCCGCAGCCGCTAGGGCCAGCGCCGCCGAGCGTTAGGAGCGACACTATCTGATTATGAGTGGGTTCTTCTCCCTATTTATTAAAATTTAAAAAATGTATTAAAATTTATTAAAAATAAATTTTTTTATTTTTAAATTTATTAAGTGGAAATATTTCAATAGATTTCTATGTCACCCATGAGGTACTAATACTGACACGTTTTTCAAAAAGTGGTTTTTATCTACATTATTGCATCAATTGTTCATTCTCATAAAAGGCCAAGAAAATCTAATTAAGAAAATCTCTTTTATATATATTTTTTTTTAAATTAAGAATTTATTTTTATCTTTAGTGGAATAGGTCTACGGGGGAAACCACTTAAAAAAACGCGTCAGCATTAGTATCTCATGGGTGACGTCAAAATCTATTGAAATATTTACACTTAATAAATTTAAAAATAAAAATTTATTTTAATAAATTTTAATACATTTTTTTAATTTTAATAAATAGGGAGAAGAACCCACTCACAATCAGATAGTGTCGCTCCTAACGCTCGGCGGCGCTGGCCCTAGCGGCTGCGGCGCGCGCGGTAAGGAGAGGAAAAGAGGCGTATACCACGGAAATCGGCTGAAATGTTCAGACTAATTCCGAGCACTGATCTATAATCAAGAAATTTATTCAAATAGTTTTTATGTTTAAGAAGCAGTCTATTGAATTAAGAAGCGTTTAATAGATGCAAAAATACTATCCCGCATTTTCTATAAAAGATGCAAATTAAATATGTTGCGCAGAAAGAAAATTTCTGAAAAATTATCTTCTGCAGTACATCAAAGCAATATGTTTCTGCGGAAATATTGAAGAAATTTTGACATAAATAATTTTTATATTGCAAAAGTGTTATATATTTGGAAACTTACTATATTTGTAAAAATTTTTAAATACATAAGAATAAAGAAATATAAACACAAAAATAAATAGAAATGAATTCATTTTAAATGACAAATTAAATTACGTACAAAAATAAATTTAGTATTTTTTGCTAATCTAAAATCTCAAAAATAAATTTTGTTAAGAGCATACCCAATGTTAGCATAATATAATTAAATAAAACATAATTTTGTTAAATATTTATTTACTTCTATTTTATGATTATTAAAATCTTTATCACATAATCATATGCCATTTGCCCAAGTTTCTACTTATTCTTGAATTACAAATTTAAATTATTACATACGGACGAATCATTCTAATATGTGTCATTTCTATGAGCAAAACTTATGTGAGGAAAACTAAATAAACATACAAACAGTTATAACATTAGCTAAATATATAAAAATTTTTAAATTTGCATTATATAAAAATAATAAAATAGCACAATTTTTTAGATGTTTATAATACTTTAAAAAAAATTCATACATTATTTATATATTATACATATAATCTTACATTGTATTCATAATATGTTTAATTTTATTAACGTTTTATTAAGTTGTTTTACTATTATTCCTATCATTTTTATTTTTATTCCTATCTTTTAATTAGAAATAACTATACATTTGTAAACAAACTTAAAATTAAAAATTATTGTATTTTAAAATATTTTAATCCATACGAATATATTAAAAATTAATAATTTAAAAAATATCTCAGTAAACATACAAAAAACTAATTGATTAAATTATCGAATAAAAGTAATAAATAATTTAATTATGCTTGTATTATAAATTAAAAAATTAGTAAATATAAAAAATTAGTAAATAATGTAACCAATTATAACACAAAATTTTGTATGTTTTTAAATTGTTTTCAATCTGTTACAGCATGTATTCTATCAAATAGATCTATTTTCAAAGTTAAGCCATTATTCTCGTCTACTTTTATTTAAATCAATAAAATTAAGAGAATGCCATTATCGCCGATTGTGATTTTACTTGAACGCCGTTACTTCCATTGTTAAACTCTGGATAAACCTATATAAACGTTTTTAAATGTTTGTTAAAAGGAAATTGTGCGGCACTTGCTTTACTCGTTACATGTTTAACGCGTAAATTAAATGCGATACAAAAAAAGTATAAAATTATTTATATATAATGATATTAACAATATTATCAATAAAGTTTACAGCCGCCTGTTTCCTTCAGTTTGGTTGACTTCCTGATGGTCCAGCTATGTCGTACGTTCTCTGTGTACTTGTCAGTCTGTTCGGATGTCGATCTTCAATGTGACGATTGAAATACTGTAACGGAACATCAAGAGATATTCTGCTCTGACAAAGACATTGCACTTCAAAATCACTAACTTTTGTACAGTATTTCCATATCCAGCCGTAGTCGAGAAAGTTATCCGGTTGCTCAGAAAAATGTTTTTCACACATGTGTTTTATCAAATTAGATTTATCAGTAGATCCATGAATAACACTACAAAGAGCACATTGTACTTCAATTGAGTTATAATAATTGAAAAACTTAAACGGCCATTCTTCCCCGTTTGCTTCTTCGTAATTATATGCATTAATATGCTCTTCTTTTACGTGTTTAATAAAGTTTGTCGTATCGATGTAATAGGATTGAAAATTGCAAAATCGGCATCCAGCTTGAAAATTCCGCAAATTTATGAAATTTTGCCACAATTTTTGCGTCATATTCCACTGCAATATATCCGAATGCTCTTCAATTATATGATTAAGGGGAGCAGATAACACCTGGATAGACGTGTTTTTGTAACAAATATTGCACTTTATCTTATCACCCTTTTGATAACAATATTTAAATATCCAATTCTTTGGTGCATAGATTGAGAAACGTTTTATATCTTCAGAATGCAAGTTTTTTAAGTGAGTTTCTGCTAATTTATCATTAAATGCAAAAACGTCACGACAAATTAGACATTTTGAATACATTATCTCTTTATCGCCAATATATTGATAACAATACATAAAATATGCAAATGGCCATATCTGTCTCTTGTGTTCTATTTCCCAATCATGAATTTTTGTATGCCAATCATGTGTATGTTCACGAAAATTTGAGGTGCTGTGTATGTAAAAGCAGTTATATTCGCAAAATTTGCAGTTTACTTGATCCTGAATATTGTTATAATATTCCCACATGTTTTCTTTAATTTCTGCAACTTTTGAATCGCATTTTAATGCAGGAATTATGTCGAGTGTTTCTTGCACATTTTCTAATTTGTCCAAATGTGTATTTACAAAATGAGTATTTAAAGTCCAGTTCAACAACAACCGGTATTTAATTTGGGGACACATACTACACTTTATTTCAAAATCATCACTTTTTCTACCATATTTCCAAAACCAACTGTGATTTTTGTAATCCTCCACTTCTTTGTTTGAATGCTCGTGTAAATGATGTATTAAAAATAGAAATCTAGGTGAAAAATCTCTCTGCACCACACAAAAGACATTCTGAACGAAAATCGTAGAACGTAGGCCGGTACACGTATTTGAAAAATATCCATGGCCATTCTTGTCGTCCTGTTGCTTCTTCCTGATCAAATATTATTTTATGCTTTATTTTTATATGATTATTCCGAAATTGATTATCGGACACATAAATAAATTTATTTTCGCAAAATTTGCATTTTGCGTCGTAATCTGATAACTTTACGTAATATTGCCATACGTTTTTTTTAGTTACTACACTTGACATTGTGTCCGTTCCAACTTACAGGAGGCTGATAACTGAATAGGAACCTTTCTGTTGAAGAGACTTTCTATCGAAAAGTGCGCGATAGAAGAGACAAGGAAGACGTATAGTTTATCATTTCAATGTAAATATTGATACGTCAGCCAAATCTATCCAATCAATATCAAGAGACGCGGTAGCATACTAGGTTTATGTGGCAATAAGAACTTTGTGTAAAACATATTACAACATATCTTATAAGCAAATAATTTTTACGAAATAGATATTTTATTACTTACATAAAATAATAGGGATATCGTATGTAATTTGCAGAGTTTATTGATACTGATAAATACAACTGCTACTTTGATTACAGAAATATGAAAATAAGCATTTACTTTTATACTTTTTAACATGTTGTATGAAAATGTTTTGCAATAAATTTATTTATTCTTAGCTTGTAATTAGATTCTTGATTAATTTATAAGAATTTCGTTAAAACTGTATTGCTGAAACATTATTAATTTATTGGTATATATTTTATTCATATGTTTTTTTTTTCTCATTATTTAAAGATTCTGATAAAATGCTAAGATATAAATAAAAAATACTTTTTTTAAATTATAAATTATAATTTAAAAAGATATTTAAAAAATAGACATTATAAATTAAAAAGAAGTTTAGAAAATTACAATGAACTTACAGCTAAATAATGATCAATTTTATTAATTTACAATGTTATATTATTATTTTTGTATTACACTTGCAAGTTATGTAAACAAAACACAAGTGTATGAAATTGTAATTTAATTTTTTATCAAAAATTGTTTTTATATTATATTTTCGCAGATTTATATCAGTTTTTGAAAATTAAGATTTCAAATTAAAGATTAAAATTTCATAAATCAAATAATCTCAAACTTAGCTTACTACTTTGTCTTGAAAGTTCGAGAATTTCTGTCTCCAATTTTCAATTTTTTATCTCCAATGTATGATTTTATTTAGAAAAATGTATTAGACGTCACTCCGTGACAAAGCGCCCGCGTTGTTCTCTTTGCTTTGCTCTCGTGGTTAACAGTTCGCAAACAGTGTTCATCGTTATGCTTTTCAGCAACGTGCAATAATTCGGAAGATATTTGCTCCGTACATTGCGCGACGTATTCATCATTATGCATTTCGGCGCCGTGGTAAACGTGCTACAGTAAGTGTTGTTATTCGTGGTTATTAAAAAACCGACAAATGTAATCATTAAATGATGCCTTTTTTCGTGTTAAACCGAATCTTGGATAAATCATTGGCAAGAAATATCGCGAAATTATTGGTCCTTATCTAACATGCTAAATTTTATTTAACATTTGCGTAATTTTTTAATGTTCGAATATTATATAATTTTTATATTATTTCCGTATTTGTTTTTATATTATTTTCGAAATGAGAAAAGAATAATTTTAAATATTAAAGCCAACAATTTTAAAATAAGTCATATTGGCATTGAAAAAAGTGTATAGCATCGCATTAAACTCATTGTTGCACATTGATGCATTTTGTGCAAATTCTCATTGAGTATAATTATTTCGATAAATTTTGTAAAAAATTATTTTGTAGAATATTCTAGAAACGTTCTTCAAATATCGTCGAAGAGCCGTCGCGAATCTCGACAACCGCTGTAGTTTGTCAGAAAACATGACCTATAAACACAAGCAAATAATATCGGCTTGAGAGAAGCTCGCTCACGACATTCTTCGTGTGTATGACGATTATATCACAGCCAATCATAGCCCGCTTTGTGAAAATCAAACATTACATTGTCGAAACTGAGGGCGTTAGTCTGTATTAAATTTTGTGAGTGGGAGAGATTTCCAGAACTTTCTGTCTTCGCGAATATAAAACTCCGTGACGAAGCGCCCGCGTTGCTCTCTTTGCCTTGCTCTCGCGGTTAACAGTTCGCGGACAGTGTTCATCGTTACGCTTTTCAGCAACGTGCAGTAATTCGGAAAATATTAGCTCCGTACATTGCGCGACGTATTCATCATTATGCATTTCGGCGCCGTGGTAAACGTGCTACAGTACGCGTGGTTATTCGTGGTTACTAAAGCCGACAAATGTAATTATTAAATGGTGCCTTTTTTCGTGTGTGTGATAAATGTGACTTTTTACGACATCCAACATTCAAAGTAAACGGAACATTAAAGAAAACGAGACAATTGGACTCGAATCACATCGAACTAGACAGAGTTTGAAGATCGACATAACCTCCTTTGCACAAAGGTATTATGCTTGCAACAAAAGAACAAATTCATCGATCTACTGCGAAACCTGCTGAAGCAAATCGAACGCCGAGCCTTCCGAAAACGTTCAAGCCTTGTACACGATGTTGCCGCACATTCAGCGGTCGCACCGTTCCGGAAGATGCAAAGATGAGCCAAATTTCCAGTATTCTTTCATCTCAACGGGGATGCAACGCTGTGTGTCCGTCATCGCCCTTGCTCGGATGACATCGTGACAAACGCCAGCTTCTTGTCCGTCACTCCAGGTCAAACCATCAAGGGGTAGCGCCGGACGGTATCTCCTTGAGAACAGTCTTTAATCAGGGAGGATTTAATTGTAACCACTTCTCAAAGTCGGTTCGTTCTTCTGTTGCCTCGCTTTAGCATCGACTGCAGGCAGTTTTGTGTGCTTATCCAGCAGGTGCAGAATCATCTTCCAGAGACTCGGAAACGGCAAGCAGTGGCGTGCTGAGAAAGAAACGGTGTCTGAGCCAGATCGGTCCGGTCGTCTGTGACAATAATTATCACTGCCCGCCGTCGGACGCAAGTTACGTTCCGATACAGCAACGGTTTCAACATCACTCTGCCCCTCTGAGATCCGGTAGCGTTGAAGAGTTAGCTTGTGCGTAAATTGAAGTCCTCTGGTGGGGCAGGTGAACAGTCTCGAAAGGCGTAGATAACCAAAATTCGGAAGTCTGAGTGGAAGTCCGTTGAGCGGCTCGCTCGGAGAAATGCGGTGTGTGTCGAAGAGATCGTGCGCTGTCTGTTCGCACGATCCTCTTCGTGAGTTCCTCGACGCTCCGCGGCTGGATCCGGAGCGTGATTTGGTCTTCACGTGGATGCCTTTGCAGTCCGATTCTTTGGATTTCGCGTGCATAGTTTCGCTTGCTTGGAGCAAAGGCACCGTTGCAATTTATATGCAATATGGAGCATCGTGCAGCAAGGCAAGATCAATCATATGACTGCTCACCAGGATGGCCCGGTTTCATCCCGCAGACGACGGCATCGTACGAGTGATGGTACGCAGCTTGAAGATGATCCGGCCGGCGAAAGGAATCGTCTGACAACCTGTCCATCAAGGTACTCAAATTGGCTGATAATTTGTAAGACCTAATATTGTCAGTTATTTTTTTTTACCCCATTAAATCGTTTTTATTAATTATATCACACTGTTACAATGCAATTTCATTCAGATTATAACACTCATCGTATCATAATTACACTGTATTATTCATTATAATACGTTAATGAGATTTATTTATTAAATGCATTAAGTGTATTAAATACATATATTTTCATCTGCGAATTTTATTAACGAATTAATTGTTATTATAACAAACGCATTTGCATTAATCCTATATAGATCAAAACTGTAGATCATAATTGAAACTAAAATTGTCATATTTTGCCAACAATTGATGTAGATATTACATTTTCGATATCTCCACAAAAGTTGTAATAGTAAGATCAAAAGTTACATAAAATACGAGAAATGACGAAGATAGATAAACATAAAAATAAAATTAAAATCAAATAATTGTAACTGATGCGAAACAAACAATTCATATACTTCGTCTGTACAAAAAGTTGACGATAAGTTCATAAAATCGTCTTATTTTATAAATTTATAAATATGGTTTATAAATTGAAAGCAGCACATAAAATTTATAAGTATATTTAATAAATTTTGAAAATGTTACTTTATATTTATAAATGATAGATTTATAAATGTATTTATAATTTTATAAACGTATAATTAAATGAATAATTATATGTCAGAGTTGTGTGCAATTGTTCTCGTATACTTTAGATTACTTATGTTAGGTTGAAATCGTCCAAGTCAGGGTTATCAAATCAAAACTGTTGTTATAAAACTAAATATTTAAAAACTAAACATAAATCAAAATAAAAATTAATTTTTAAAGTAAAACAAGAAAACACTCCACGTGTTTATTATATGAGTTAAACACATGCTATTTTATATGTAATTTAAATATAGAGTTAAAAGACTTTTCTCAACATTTAAATACTCACTCTATAAAACGCGTAATAGATTTTGAAGTGAATAAAAGAATAATAATTTTTTAAATTGTTACTTGAATGCAATTACTATCATTTCCATTGTCAACAACTTTGTACATATAAAAATTAAAAATATAATTATATCTTATATCAATTCTTATATCAATATAAAACTTGCTGCCATTTTTATTTTTCAGTTTGATTGATTTACTGAATAATTCAGTTATATCATATATCCTGTTTCAAACGTGTCAATGTATTTAAATGGACATATTTGCGAACTCTTAAATACGATAACATTAAAAACGAACCCGAGAAAAATTGGTACAATATGATTAGATGTAAATATATATAATTAGTTAGGAAAAGATCTGATAATATGTAATATTATAAAATTGTCTATTATATAAATCTATATTATCTATTATATAAAATCATATAAAATTATATATATTATTAGATCTTTTCATAACTAATTATATATATTTTCATCTGAATCATCTTAATTATACCATTTTTTCTCGGGAATGTTCAAATCGACTGCCGTTATTGTGTTATTATCATATATAAATCCCATTGTCAAACTGCACATATAAAAATTAAAAATATTATTTCCCTTATCGTTATTAATTATATTTTTAGTTTTTATATGTGCAGAGTTTGATAGACAGAGTTATGGCAATAAGACAATGACGGCAGTTAATAAAAATGGTAGTAAATTTTATGTTAATATAAGAATTGATATGTTTTATATTGATATATTATTGTAGTATCAATATATAAAATTTACAGAAGATATATCGCACTACATTGCGTCTCTTTCACGCATTCTGGCTAACCAATGAGGCTCCATGTGCTTTCTTATATTCGATGAAATATTAACAAATATAGTGCTCGAACAAAAATATTACACATGAGCTCAAAACGGCCAAATTTTGTACAGTAATTTAATCTATTGTCATAAATTTTGTAATCATTTCTTCCGTAGAATGTAAGAATAAATGTTCAAAAAAATATTTAGGCAGAATATTTTCTTTACATACTAAACATTCAAATTTTTAGTTTATCAAAATATATCATTTACATATTTTCTAGGTTTTGATTTACTGTTTTTTTAAATTTTGTTATATGTGTGATTAAATGTTCTTTAAATATATGGCAATTTTATATAATATTCAGAATTTTACAACAGCCAAACTGTCAAAATTGCGCAAAAGAATGTTTTTTTGTTCAATTAACAAATTTGTTAAATGAAAGTAAAATGCATTCTTTTGCACAGTTTTGACAATTGGTTATAAAATTTCGTAATTTTTTATAAAACTGCCATATATTTGTTTTAACATTGTGTCACGTTGCGAAGAACTAACTCTATTGTATATTTTTTTCGAAACCGATAAAAATTTTAATTCGGAATTTTACAACAGCCAAACTGTCAAAATTGCGCAAAAAAAATGTTTTTTTGTTTATTTAACAAATTTGTTAACTAATACTTAAAAATATTTTTTCTGCACAGTTTTGACAATTGGTTATAAAATTCCATAATTTTTTACAGAACTACCATATATTTGTTTTAGCATTTATTTAAAGTACAATATTTTAAATGATTTTTTACTCCTGCTGTAATTGGAAGTTGCATTTTTTCACACACAATGTGTACTTCACGCGAAAATTATTACTTTTTTATTTACTTCAAAATCTATTACGCATTTTATAGAGTGAATGTTTAAATGTTGAGGAAAGTCTTTTAACTCTATATTTAAATTACATGTAAAACAACATGTGTATAACTCATTGTAATAAACAATTGGGATATTTCCTTATTTTACTTTAGAAATTAATTTTAATTTTGATTTATGTTTAGTTTTTAAATAAGCGATAATTGCTGATGTTAATATACGAAAGTTATTTCGTGCATCAAAAGTAATTCCGTATAATTATATGTAACGAATGTAAGTCTATTGCTTATGTTAAGTTGACCTTTCACGAGTTAGCGAAATAAAGTTTGCATTTTTAAATGCTAACTTTGGAATGCTCTGCATACTTAAAAAGGTTACGTGAAAATATTGCTGTTTACGATACAGATTAATTAATGGCTATTTATCAATTTAATCTATTCTTGCAATTATTATGCACAAGTTATTTTTTAACTAAATCTTTAAACTCCAGCAGCGAATTTTACTCATTGAGAATGAAAAAAAGTTATAAGACTGTAGACCCGGAACGCATATTTTATAATGTTTCATATGTGAATAATTTTTGCTTGATTTTTGCAGGAATGTTTAAGAAATTTATTCGTCATTTTTGTGCATTAATTGTAAAATGTTATGATATGTATCACTCAAAAAAATATTTCGCTGATGTAGTTAGATTTCTAGATATCGCAACAAGAATGTATCGCTATTTTTCGTATCTGTGAAAACATTGTTTGTCACATATAGAATTTATAGCAGTAATGTTCTAGCAATAGCTTCTGAAAAATTTAGGTACCATTGCTAAATGTTACTCATTGCATGATCTAACACGTGATTGATCTTATGTAGATAGGCGCTTTAGAGAAACTTTCTTTTTAAAGTTCACAAACAATACAGATATATATTCTGTTTCTGTCATCTAAACTGATTAAGTAATTACATATGTAATATCACAACAATTGCTAATCATTTATCTGTTTTAGTTAATTTTTTACACCTAGAAAATTTTAGCTATTATTGCAAGATCATTTTTTTAAGTGATATTAATTGTAAAATGTTAAGATATGCATATTATATAAAAATACGTATAGTGATTAATGATTAATGATCAAATAAAGTTCCAATGATGACTAAAAAAATATTTGATATCTTTAAAGATATAATTAGACGAAAAGCTGTTGTGGAAATATTTGTAGCCAGTGTTTTGTATGGATTTATTCGATAACATTGAGTAACACGTTATCGCAACTTTCGGTGAACTTGATCCAAACTTACGAAACCGGTATTTAATTAATATATCGAAAACCTGTATATTTATTTGAGTGTCACAATAAATGATAGTATTCACATTACATTATCTCTTTATCTCTTGTCCTGTAATTAAAAGCGAAACTCGAAATGAAAAGTTTATAGCAGAAGCCATAGCTGGGAGAAAGTAGGTCTCACGGTTTTATTTGAAAAGACCGAAAATCTCGTTTGTGTTTCACCTACTTTTACGGCGTCGGACATATGTTTCCTCGAAACATTCACTGTATGAAGAGTTCAGAGTTAATATTTTCCAAATGATGAACGCTGTAAATCGCAAAGTGAAAACGAGAATCCGTAACGTAAAATGTATCTTTAAATGAAAATATGCAATTCTTAAATAAATGATTTCTTAAAATAAAATCACAATTAACTGCAAAATTATTTTTTGTTTATCCTTGATTTACCAAATTTGCCAAAATAATAATCAATTCTACATATCGTTGTAATTTAAAAAACATTGGAGTTTTTGATATAAAATCTTCAATTTTTCAAACTATAATAATTAAACTTATTTTTTTATTTTTATTTTTGAAACAGTAAAAATAGAGCGAAGAGGAAGAAAACTATGCAACTCTCATGGAATTAAATAAGTATTAATTTAATCACATATAATTACAATCACACATGTTTGCAATACATACGCCAGACTCTGCTGTGGAAATTTATCATATGCTGAGGAAGGTTTAAGTTGACTTAACTAGAGAAGTGCGCCGTTACCAATTGAATATAATTAGAAGAGGTTAAAAAATATCTAAAAAATATCTTTTCGACCGCTCTTTGATTATTTTAGAAATAAATCTTTTAATAAATTCTGTCATCCGTTAATTTTAGAACATATTTTTAGCTAGCCTTAGAATACATTCTTGTATTTTTAATTAAATCTTTTTAAACACTTTTTGGATTAACTTTCAATCTTTTTAAATTTTTTGTGCGGCATTGTATGCATTTTGCAAAATTGTTTCTCTATTATCTCTCAATCTTTTGAAACTTTTAATCACTAAATTATGCAAGAATTGGGCATATAGAATATAAAAAACCCTAGCAATATCATGACGAGTCAAGGAATTATAATAAAGGACGAAACGGAGAGAGAATGAGTGCGTCAAAAGCTTTTATCGTGCTCGCAATTTGCAAAGGCGCGGTCTGAATTTATATACATTTAGCTTATTATTCTGCATCGTGTATGGAATCGGATCACTTTAAACGGTGAGCGGTACTGCGGTATGGCCTCGTCGCGATCGGCGTGGGATTGCTTGGCAACGATCAATGTTGCGCAATCCTGACGATTATTAAAACAATTTGTAATCGAGCGATTAGTAGCTACAAATAGCTGGATCTGAAGAAATTTTGCATCTAACGCAATGTATGATGACATACCGTTCGATTGCTATTGCACGACATTGATTCTTTCTCCGAGAAATATCATTAAGCATAACTAATTTTCTCATCGGCTGTGAATGCTTAATATTTGGTTTAAATATATATTTTACACACTAAATGTCGAACTATAGGTAAGTCTTTCTATCCAGAGTCGCTCTCGAGAGAAATAAAGTTCTCAAATGTGTATTCACTGCACGTCGTTTTTGCACATCGACAGATCTGCAATATTAAAGGGATGCATTTCGGGACCGATTGATCTTATCGAAGAGGCTACACCGCAACCTTCTCTCCGGTGGTGGCAGCAGTTTTCGTTGCTATCGACTTAGGCAGTCGGTACCGCGGCTGCCGGCTGCGCCTTCGCGGCATCCACGTCGGTGGGCGGTGGCAGGGTCGGGATGTCCGGGTATTCGAGCTTGGCGCCGTCCTCGCACTCGAAGATCGGACAGCAGTCGGGGAAGCTCGCGGTCTTGTTGGTCTTGTCGGAGAGCTTGCACTTAGGATTGGCCTTCGGCAGCGGGCCGCAGTCCTCCACCAGCTCGAACAGACGGCCGGAATTGTCGTCAGCGGGCACGCACGTGGAACGGCCGCAGAACGGCGACAGCTCCCACGTCTTCGTCGGCTCGATAGTCGCGCACTTGGTCGACGCGAAGCACATGCCGGGGAAATCTGCAACGCGTAACAATGTCATTCGGATGATCGTCTCTTTTGCAGTTGGGTGTAAAGAGCTAATGAAATTATGAAATTATATATCAAAATTATGAGAAGTTATAAATTTTTTTTATTGCAAATTTTGCTCGGCAAAAAGCTATTCCGATCCATTAGTTTAGCGGCCGGGGGAGAATTGATTTTCACCGACGCTGACGCACGAGATCAAAAGGCCACATCCATCACCGGTGAACGATGAAACACGGATATTGCACTTCCTTAATAACGCGCTCGCTCGCGCACGCTTACATTATCTCGTTACCTCGTCACGCGCGAAAAGTGTCATTACTTTCTAATGCATCGTGCGCGCCGAACCTGAGCAGACCGGTGTTAATGCTTACAGATACCTATAATTTTACTCGTTAATTGCGTTTCGAACAGCGACACAAATAAGAGATGCGAGAAAATAAGTACGAGAGAGGATTTAATATATTGCACACATTATATCGCACATAACAAATTTTAAAAAATTGATGATTACGCTATCAGATTCTCGAAAATGTTTTGTACAAGGTATTTCGCAACTAATTTGTTTTATATCATCTAATTATTAATCAATAATGAGAGAATATTTCAATATTAATTATTTGTAATTGATTTTCCCGAAACAAAATTTTTCATTCAGATTCTATCACACATTCGAATATGCAATATTATTCAAATGTTTTTTTTTTTTGTTAATTAATATCATTACGCAATCAAATCATTATTATTCATATATTTCAATCATTTAAATACGTCAGATATATGTGCTGCATTTGGCAATCTACTTTTGTATCATATGCGCTGCACTGACAGCTGTGAATTTCACTTCCTCGATGCAAAACCGTATGCGTCAACGACGAATGTAACGGATGACAGCATTACGAGGTTAATTCGATTATAATCGGCAGCGATCTCGATATCCATTTGCGATGACGACGTCGACGACGACGATATCGTCGTCGTCGTCGTCGGTGTCGTTGGCTGTAATCGTGCTAGAAACTTCAAGGAGAAACACTTTCACTGTCATACACCAGGTCGACCGATTGCAGCCGGCTTTTACGCAACACGGCAAAGACAAATGTTGGGCGTCGTCACGATGGGCGTCGACGTGTTTGTTAACGACTCTCACAATCAGTTACATCAACCCTTCGAGGTTACCTCGATGACTCACGAGTTTCACGAGATCGTTTCACTTTCAAGGAAGATGAAAAAAAAAAAAAAAATCTAAATCCGATCGAATATCGATTCTTAACGCAAACACAATTGCAATAAACAAGTTGAAAAGATAAGAAAGAGAGATAAAATAATTTGTTTGGGTAAAAAATTTATTAAAATAAATATTTTATTAATTTTAATCTTTGCACTTGGCGACAGAAATATAGTAATGATTAAATAAAATGAATGCCAAGAATTTGAACAAACTCATAATTAAATAGCTTTGAATAATTAAAAACTTGTGACTCATTAGTGGTAATATTTTGTAACGTTTCACATCTCTATGTTATGACGTAGATGAAAGCTAATTCGAGAGAGATTACGTATCTCGTACAGACGTCAGAATGTTTAGTCGTATAATTCCGCTCTTGTCTTGAGTGAATATGTTCTTTGCAAAATTTAAATAATGACGTGTATGTTACCGTTTTCTCAATGCCGTCGACGTTTAAGGCTAATAGTGTTGCGGTTCGCTCGTCTCACTAGTCAGCATAGAATAATAAACAAGGACATTTAAAAAAAAAAAGCAATTAAAGTGCGCATAAATCATAGTCTTCATAAATTTATTAAAAATTCAGAAATTAAAATTTTAAAACAGAGCTCAATTGAATTTCAGAGGGAAAAATTGGTACTGTTGTAAAAATTACTTATTGCAAAAACATTAGTAAAGAAACGTGAAGAGGATTTGTAGCCGACTTTCACCGGAACTTGCGAGAAGCATAATGACTCGAAACTCGTACGTAGAATTAAAGATTCTGCGTTTATCGTATAAAAGCATTAATATGAAGCATCGAAACGAGTCGGAATCAGCAACCGTGAAAATATCACTTGAATGTTTTTAAAATGCAGAATATTAATTTGCCTTATTCGTGGAGATTTTATACTTTCATTTAAGTGAAACCAGTCTGGCTGCAAAAAAATTGATAGCAAAAAACGAAGAAATTATAATTTATAATTATGTGTAATTTTATGATTTCTTGCTGCAATAATTTTTTTTTGGAAATCCCGCGATGCAGACGGCTATTTCTTTGACTTTACGGTCCTGCCTGCAACACTTTCATCGCACTGGTTGTCGTCTCTGGTAACCAGTCTGGGCGTTTACTCTCCGCGACCGTTTCGCTTTCAGATAATGATGTTTTATGCAATATATGAGAGATATTACACTTAGAATTAACTCTAATTTTTGTTGAAATTTGCAATTTCATTCAGTTCGCAAAAAACTTTGATCCAGTGTTTTCCCGTGGTAGAAAATTCATACAAAAGAATTATAAAGTATTTAGATACGATTTTCCCCGTCGTCGTTAAACGTAGAGATTAAATCGATTTAGACTGTGTCGAGTCTTATTTACGCGAGCGTGTTACATATTCAACACAAGACCTTCGTTTCTTGCGCTGTAACCTTCTAAACTCTAAGATAGATAAACAAGTTCTAGCCTTCTTACGCGCTTCCACACAATCCTGTCTTCGCTAATTCGAGCAACGAGGTCGCACGGTGTTTTCTGTTGCCTTGAGTAATTCGATTATTCATGGAAATCCAGGTCTGCACTCCGACAAGTAAAAACGACAAGAAAGAACGCGGTCAGTGTAATTAAAAACCTATGCTATCGCGCCAAGGATGTTTTTTTTTGGAAGGCTCTCAAATTGTTTCGTCGACATTTGATTGCGCGATCTCATCGAAGGATGTAATTTGCCGAGTCTCGCATCTCATGATGATTCACGCGAAATGTAATAATAGAACAGGTGGAGTTATTTTCACAGTTGTTTTTACTTTTTCAATTCATTATTTCTCTAAATTAAAATTCTAATATCGCTTGAAAGAAACTTTTATTGATTTCTAGAAGAAACATAAAAAAAGATGTGTTATTTTTTTGCGGTCTTTTTATATCGAGAAAGAGAGAAACGCATCTCTCGCTGCATCCTAGAGGTTGTATAAAGAAGAAAGTGATATCGGGAAAGGAAGAGAAGGAACGGAAAGTGAGGTGCCCCCGATGCGGAGATCGTGAGGCGATGGTTACAGCAGGAAACTTTCACGCGATCTCGTGATCTTAACGCCGAGGGCAATCGGTTTCCTATTTTTCTCACACATCCACAGGATATCACCGCGAATCACTCATGCGATACACCCGGTGTCCCTGTGAATCACCGCGAACCGCACCTGCTACGAGACAATAGACGAGCCGATGCAAAAAAAGAGACATGGGAATCGCGCGTATCAGGGTCGATTCACGCATGGATGAATACTAAGGAGACGGACGTGATAATTATAGAACAGAAAAGGTAATATTTATCAAGATCGATGCGGAAACGAGTGAAGGATTGCGAGGCGTGGACAAGGATACTCGTGGGCTCGTTATCTCGGAATACATGAGTTTGCAGTTGTTATGGTACTTTCCGCGACACTTTACGACTCGGCCGTCGATAAATTAATTGTAAATCAATTCACGCAGAACCGAGAGTGACTTTTATTTTCTCTAAGCAAGATTTGTCGACAATGCAAGTCGATAGCCTTCGGGACTTCGCGCTTTGAAACTGCTTTGAGAACGGAAAACTTCGAACAAACGTTGTAATTCGCATTTTTGATAATATAGTTATGTAATACAGAATTGATTATAAAAACTGAAATTGATTCTATATTGAATTTTTTTTTTCTGTTAACTCTACATCTTAAATATTTTTTCCACTTCTTGAAGATTGAAGTAATGGCCAATTTAAATATAAATCGCTATCACATTGCCTGTCTGATGTGTCATCGAAATTCTGCAACAATCGTTCGATACGTGTGACACGATATCGTAAGAAAGTTGAGTCTCTTCCAGAGACCGGTTGAAAACAGTGACAATCGTCCCACTTGCCGGTCATGTACACACAGTTCTTTGAATTCGGTCAAACCTCTGACACACAGTGATTCTCAATTGATGTTCTACGGACATTGTTTCTCGACTGACAGATTTCCATTTCCATATTATATTTCTATTGTATTTTACATGAAATATTTTACTTTATCGCACATGATCGGTTCTTTACGTTCAATTTCCTATATATATGATTTGGAAAAATCTTGGAAAATCTGTATTTATTTCGATTTTTAAAAATTTTATTCTTATATTTCTTTGCGCAAATAAAAAAGATATTATAAACGCGATATTTTTCCTTTGACAATTAACATATTGCTCATCACGCTAATAACTGACACATGTTCAACGCAAATTTCTGGTGTCAAGTATACCATCTAAGTGCACGTTGATAATTATCGAGTGGCATTAGCATTACGTTAATCAGAGATAAATATTATTACTTTGACAGTAAGATTAAAATACTTCACGACAGTGAGATTGAAACACTTTTTGCCTCTCGAAATTATCTTCTTAAAAAGAAATATCTCTTAGAAGCTTCTTTTCAGATGCTTCATCATGCATTTCATCAAAATTTTTTATCATGCATTAATTATTTTAATTAGCATTTTCATTTAGCAGTATTATAATTTCGTTATAATTCTCAATAAATAGATAACTTTTATTTCTACAAATTCTTATAAAATATTATGAATCTAAGGGGGTTTGGGAGAAAATCGGCTCTTTAACTAGATACAGTAATCTTTCAGAAATCGCGGTATTGCCGTATATAAAATTCCTCTTTCATAAACTGTAAAGCCAACAGGTACTCACCGCGAAGAACGTCAGCGGGTATCAACCGTCGGAAGGTTTTCGGTCGCTCTTGTGCCTCCTGGGCGACGACGAAGGCGACCGCGGTGCACAGCAGGACGAACTCGAGGACTAGCTTCATGATCTCGGCAGATAGATTCACAAGGGTTTTAGACGCGTAGGAAAAAGGGGAGAGAAGAGAGCAGAAAAATAAAGCTTCTTGTAGCGATTTAGACTGGTTGGGCCCGATTCCCGTGGCGGCATTTTATAGCCGACCATCGGGCGCGGTCCCTGTTATCCCCACCAGGTGTAACGTGGTCTCTCACCTCTTGAACCACCCGTCACCGAAGAATCGTTCGCGACCGGAGCTCGAGCGGTGCCGGAGACACCGAGGCAAACGCGCTGGATCTATACGATAGACAGGCAGAAATGCACTGTATATATAAAACTGATTGACCGCATTTTATTGTGCTATATTGTGACATACGAGAGATTCGACCGATTTAAAATAATAGATATCTAGAAATTATAAAAATATACACACAAAATATTTATATGTGCAGAAACATCTTTATTTTCAGAAAGAATTTTTTTTTCTACAATGCCCCGAATGAATTTTTCCTAATGTTAATTATAAAAAAATGTAAGAAGCTTAAACTTACGAAGTAACGTCGGTTATTCCAAGTACTTTCACTTTCCGGTACTTTAACTTGAGCAGCCTAAAATATTGATTTTATTTTAATAAATTGTGAATTTCTACCATTTGTTTTTTTATTTAACTGAGATTGTATTAAATTTACCAAAGGCAGAAACTTAATAAACACCCAGTATGTTAAATGCGTGCATATGGGTTACGATTTTGTGCGTGCTGCGTGTAAGAAAATAGTTGTCACATTAGGATAATAGCACAGTGAGTTCATACCATTCATTTTCAGTAATTACAGACTTAATAACGGCAATTAGCATTAAATGTTATTTACTAATACAATTTAGATTCTATTCATATGCTAATAAAAAACGAGAGTATTGTCAGAGATGAATACAGTACAGTTTTATCGTGGAATCAGCCATCGTGGAATTTTCTCAACATCTCATTTATTCAAAGAGAAGACTCTTTAAGGAAATTATACTTGCTAAATAGATTCCCTCTCTAGATCTTCACAAATTTAACTGAAATTTACATTCCGACTTCTGCTTAAAATCGATTTAAGTTTATCGGATTGGGTAATTTACGAAGCGGACGTGGCGTTGCGTAATATAAAATCAGTTTGAAAAACTGGTATTGTAAGTATGAGCTTTTCAGTAAAACACCTTAAAAATACTCTGATATTAGCGTTTCCTAATTTACTACAAAAATAATATTTCTTTTTATATTTTATTTTGACGGCTTATCTCGATTTCTTGATAAACGTCCGTGAAACTTGCGTAAAATTTTTCACCTGAAATACGTTGGGCAACGGTTGCCCATGCAATCTTCAAGCGTCATTAATATAGATTTCTCGGTAAGATGAACGATTAGCATAGCAGTTAGCAAACATAAACGTTAGAGAAACGCTGATTTATTTTAACGTGAAAAAATTACTTAAAGACCCGCGACCTATTTGTATAACATAATTCATATATTTTGTAGCGCAGATACATATTAGGTAACATTGTATGCGTATTATATAGCACACTCACATCACATGCGTGAAAACTGAATTCTCGGATGTATAATTTTTTCGAATTCGAATGTCGATTTTATACGAACTGCTTTGTTACGCAATGTGGAATGCCCCGTACAAAAGATTATGCGATACGAGTCTCGTAGCATAATTAATTTATGAAAATGTGGCCCACCAGTATTCTGTGATCCAAGAATCGTGTAGCGGAGAAAGAACATCGAAGAAATGAAAAACTGGAATAAGTTTAGCTGCTACAACAATTTCCAATTCCATTCCTACAATTTTCCGTTTGTGGTAATCGCATTTTTTTCAAAATTTTTTTTCTTCAAATCTTGTACGTTAATCAGTGGCTCGCAATTTTACTTCGAGAAAGCGAAAGAGAGTTTGCTATCTTATACAAGAAATTATTATTAAATAATATAATCCTGGCAACTCGTATTCTATTAAAATAAAGCATTTTCGAAAAAAATGTTTCATATGAAAGCTGTAGGGTTTTAAGCGGCACATTATATAGCAATGTTAGTTTGACCTTGGATAACATAATTAAGGTCACGTAAAAATTACTTTGAAATTTTTTAATAAAAGCCCATATTTTTGATTACATATTCTTGTGAGTTGATCTCGCAAGCTTTTCAAAATACTATAATAAAGGTTTTTTCATTAGGTACTTTTTGAGTAATTTTATATCTTAATCTGACATTTTTGACATAAAATATAAAATATCTCGTAAAATATTTAATTTTTGATAATTTTATTCTAATACTTTTCTGCACAGAATAATGAGACGAATCAAGTAGTGTAAAGAAAACGTATAATTGCAAAAAAAAGTACATTGTAAATTACATACGTTTTCCTAAAAATAATGTGTTTTTTTTAACTAGTATATTAATTGTAATTATTAATTATAATTAAATACACAAACAAAAAAATTTTCTAAAATAAAATACAATAAAATATTTATAAATGCACTTAAATAAATCGTCGATAATTTAATAGTTACAAAAAAGTCGATAATTAATTCATAAAACAATTTTACTTAATAAACTGATAAACATAGTTTATAAATTGAAAACGAAGTACACATAAACAAAATTTATAAGCGTATTTAATAAATTTCAAAAGTGTAACTTTCTTATCTATATGACACATAGTTTTATAAACATATTTATAATTTATAAACGTAAAACAAATTATACGTCAGGAATAATTATACGTAAAAAGACATGCCACTTTTCTTGTGTACTTCAAATTATTGCAACACATGATAATTCATACTTATTATACAAGATGTCCAGATATTACTACCAAAAAAAAGAATAGAAAATTTATACAAAAAATAATGATAATGTTATCTTTATGCCTTCTTCAAAATTATAATTGCATCGTGATATACAGCTTGTTTCATATTATATCTTATTGTGAATTAAAAACCATTCGGCCTCATCAACTTTATTGTTCATAATTCTACATTATGCTCAGTGTGTTTAACTCTTTTATTAGATTAATTAAAAATAAATGATAAAAAGAACGTGTTGTTATTATTTTTGTATTTTGCACATTTTCTGGTTAGAAAAATTAAATAAGATTTTGATTGATTCAAACATATTTAATATTATTTTCTGTTATAACGATTAGATCAGAAAAGATATTAGATCAAAAAATTTAAAAAAATGCAGAAAAATTCATCAAAAAAATATTACAATAAATAATACTTTTAAATCGTTTTATCAATTATATGAAGAAACCATCTCATATTTGTTTTCAAATGCCATTTTATTAATAAGGATTTAATATCTATCATAATTAATCTTGAAAACATGCATATTGTCTGGTTATTATTATATAACACAATTTTCGAACAATTACAACTGTAAGAATTAAGAATTGACATATTTTACTGACAATTAATGTATCACTTTTTGGCAATCTTCACAGTACTTATTATAATAAATTCAAGTATAAAATATGTAAAATGCACGATCAACCAATTTGATAAGAAAATGAAATAGAAATAAAATATTTATAAATGCACTTAAATAAATCGTCAATAGTTTTTATGGTTACAGAAAAGTCGATAATTAATTCATAAAACCGTCTTACTTTATAAATTTATAAACATAATTTATAAATTGAAAACATAGAACATTAACAAAATCTATTAACGTATTTAATAAATTTCAAAAATGTAACTTTCTTATCTATGTGACACATAGTTTTATAAACATATTTATAATTTATAAACATAAAACGAATTATACGTCAGGAATAATTATACGTAAAAAGACATACCACTTTTTTCGTGTACTTCAAATTATTTGAGTCGTCAAAATTAAAATTGTCGTTATCGTTGGTTGATGCTACTTGAACGTCATTATCATCATTCGGTTGTCCAACTCTAGATAAACCTAAATGTAAATAATTTAATATTTATTAAAAACAATTTCTTTGGTTATTACTTTTCTCATTACATATTTATTAAATTAAATGCGATTCAAAGAAGGTAAAAAATTAATTATGTATAAAAATGTTAACAGTAATATCAATAAAACATATTGTCACCTGTTTTCTTCAGTTTGGTTGGCTTCCTGATGATCCAAAGCTATGTTAAACGTTCTCTGTGTAATTGTCAGTCGGTTCGGATGTCAATTAATATTTTCAATTGATATATTATTAATATCACGATCGATATACCATAATGCTAAGTCTAAAGGTATCTTAGGTATGTCCAACGTTCTTCTTAGATGTGTCAGTCGGTTCGGATGATGATTATCAATATGACGATTGAAATATCATAATGCAACGTCAAGAAATATGTTGCTATGACAAAGACTACATTTCACCTCAAAATCATCAACTTTTGTACAGTATTTCCATTCTCAGCCACTGTTGTCAAGTCTTGTGTTAAGAAAGAATAGGATGCTCGTCCAAGTGGTTGTAAAAATTTATAAATACACGAAACAACAGCAACATTTTAAAGAATATAAATTATGATACGTGAAATGCATCCATGGATATTTGTGTTCGTGTGCTTCTTCGTGATTGTATATTTCTTCATGCACTTTTTTTACGTGTTCACCAAAGTTTGTTATATTTACGTAACAAGAACGATTGTAGCAAAATTGCACTTTGCTTGAAAATCCTGTAATTCATAATTTTGGCGCAGTTTTTTCATATTTTTTGTTCCGATCTTCTAGTGCAATTTTCCGGATGACTTTTAATTATATGATCAGACACTTCAGAAAGCATATCAATGGTTATCTTTAAGCAACAAATAGTACACTTGAACTCTGTAGTGTCATCAGTTTGTATAAAATATTTCATTATCCAATGGTCATTTATAGTATTACGTATACTGCTCTGTTCCTCCGGAGAATGTTGTGACGAATGTGGCTCTATACATTCAGGCGCAATCGGAGATTGACCACACATGAGACATTCTGTGTATGGTATGTTTTCATCGGATGTATATGCATACAAATACTTAAAATATATCCATGGTTCTTGATTT